GTATCTAATAAGCTATTAATTTGGGAGATGAACACTCCATACACAGATGAATGGGTGGATTTAACTACATACATAAGGAATGATATCGATGGAAGTGTTGAACTCATGCGTACAGTTTAGCTGAGCTGTCTATTATATATCTACAGTCAGTAAAACATCCGAAACGGATGTGGCAGATTCTGTGATGTCTTTAAATTCATCTTCACTGGGATATAGCAAATTGACACATGAATGAAAGTAACTATTGTTACATGATTATACATGGTCGATATATCTAAGCATCGAGTTTAAGAGCACAGCAAGTGTTTCCTTCTCGTACTCAAGTTTTTGAATAAATCTTTCATAGGAATATGCATTGAAAAACAGGTCAACTAATTTAGGGGACCAAATCGGATTTCAAGCAGTTTGTAGGAAAACCAGGCCTCCAAATACTACAGAAATATTGAAAATTAGGAACTCCAACTTCCTTTCAATTAAAAATTGATAAGAGTATTTGTGTGTAGAATCAGAGTGATATCTTTAAACAAAGTAATTTCGTGATAATCAATTATAAGAAAGAAAAAATTCAAATTATCATTTTTATTGAAGAAGCAGTTTTCTATGATATCAAAGAACCTAGCTTTTTTAATTTATCACAATGAATGGTTGAATAAAGTGTAGATAAGTCGTAGGTTTTGATGTAAAGGCTTCTGAAAAAAAATGGTGAATTTAAATTTTCTGAAAAAGTTCTTTTGAGAGATATTGAGGATCCACATCTTATTTACACCACTTCTAGAATATGCTGTAGCTCTGTTTGCTCTAAGCTTCTACTTATCAGCAGTTTATACTTTGGTAAGGAGTAAATATATGGGTTTTGTAGAGCAATAATCTTTATTTTTAAGGATGTTTGCGAAGTTTAGAAATCCAGTATAGGTAGGGAACAACTCGTTGTATGAAATATCGAACAGTGATTTTGAAGAAATTTATCAACTCAAAGTGAAATGAAAATATATCAAAGATTTTTAGGTGTAAAATTAAAACTTAGAATTAAAAGTTCTTCCAAAATAGAGTTATAATAATGAACTTCGCAATCAAACAAGAAATTGACCAACCTTGTCTCAAAAAGTATACTGTATTTCATAAATGGAGAAAAAGGAGAGAAATAGTTTTAGATGGACATGTTTGATTCTGAATTTTTACATAAAAAGTTCAAAATATCTGTGAACGCATTTATTAAGTTATATTAAGGAGGTTAATTATAAACCAAATTGGAACAAATTAAGAAAATATAACTCTTTAAAAAGTGTACCTTGACTTTTTGCTAAGGATTTTGATGAATATAACCCTATTCGACCATGGCTTATTTTTACATTATGACTGCATGTGTAGGGTTAGTAGAAAACGAAGTAAGATCAAATTATATTCTATTTTCTCATGCAACCAGATAAAATTTGCTTGCCGTTATTAGCAAAGCTGTTTGTATTCAGATGAAGAGGAATTTATTCAAAATATTTATGCGTTGAAAACACCTACGTGTACTGTGACCTTCAACTCTCATTTAAAGACATTCACGACGTATTATAATAAATATAAAACAATACTTGCTTTCATTCATATACATGTATCGATTGGATATATCCCGGTGAATTTGAAATAAAAGGTACCTATTAAAGAGTCTGACACATCAATGTCTAATCAGAAAAAAATGTTATTGTTAACATAATGAAACTTTATTCTTAACATGATAATTGAAACTTTTATATCGTCAACTTTAATACCTGATATAACCTTTTATATCGTCAACTTCAATACCTGATTTAAACTTTTATATCGTCAACTTTAATATCTCATTTAAACTTTTATATCGTCAACTTAATACCTTACTGATGTAGCACTGCGTCTCCAAGTTGAATCGACACGCAAAAGGTTATATTTAGGTATTTTTTTCAATTATAAAATGAGGTACCGTTAGCTATCTACCAAGTTGATTAGACAAAGGTATTAACGGTCACGTTTGAAGTCATTTTGCAGGTTCAATGAACAATACGATTACCTTATATGCAAATACAATCTACATTTATTATACTATCTATCATCTATCATGTCATAACTTATCATATATATAATACAATCTAATTTGTCAAATGCTGACTGACGTTTTTCATAGTTTTGTTTGGCCATGAATTTCTTCGGACTTTTTCGTTTTCCGATCATGACAAGGAACACACTATGGGTGTGGACGGTTGTCAAAAGATGCTTACTACATTTTGACACCTGATCCTTCCTCTTATTTTTAAAGGTCTGTGAATACTCTCCTCCTCCGTGTTTGCTCTTCTCTTGTATTTATTCCTTGTACCGACCTAAAATATTAGGGTTAGTCCTGGCCCCAGGATCATGAAACAAACTTAGACTTAAGCCAAATTTTCAATCGTCTTTAAATATTCATGAATGATACATGGAATTTATTTCGAAATTTGCAGATAACAACAATTCTGAGAAGCAATATTGAAAAAATATTGTAATCTCAGTCTGCTTGACTTCTACAACAATTCATTATCATTATCAAATAAATATTTTGACTTAAGCTTAAGCTGTTTCATGATCCCGGGGCTGGACTGACACTTGAAGATTTAGTCTTCGAACAATATTGCACTGATCATATACATGATATATGTGATAATAAAAAGCTATACACTATTCGACTGAATAGGAATAGTCTCGCACCAAACAAAGAAATTGAGGACAAACCCTTGCACCCTATGTATTTGATTGATAAATATCAATCTTTTCTTGTCTTACAGATACTTTTTTCTAGTCAGTTTTGGGGGATCAGACATTATCATATTTTACGTAACTGCTAATCAAAGCTTTTGAATCTGATCCCCTTCTTGTTTGTTAAATTGTTCACATATATACCGTCATTTTAATAAATGACATTATTCATCTCTATGAAAGTGTTTTATTTGACTTACACAAAATTAGCAAAAACAAGCTGCGGTGAGCTTGCATATAAGCATAAGAATACATAAATATCAATCTTTCCTCCATTTAAGATCACGATAGTTATAAATTTTCAATTTATAAGAATTAGTTTCGCACTCATCCGAAACTAAATATGGTTAGCCTCAAGTATTTTGATGAACCATATTTAACTTTGGTAAATGAATGTTTTAAAGTCAATTGTATTAATTTACAATAAAACATTAAATCGCTTCATTATTTCAATTCATAAAGTAGTACTTTGACTCATAAATTGTTTCTTTGGTTTATCAAGCATTGGGTGGAGGTACATTCAGTGTCTGTTGACTGAGGATTGTTACAGTTGCTTCCCTTCTCTCAGCTAAGAACTGGCCTTTTATGCCTAGGCTCTCGATGAGGTAAGCGTAAAATGTTTAAATACTCCATCGAAAATAAGTTGAAATTAAAGGAAGGATACTGCTTCTGTTATTTTATTCATGCCTCCTGTATTTCTCCTTTTTCTAATGCAATGTATAGTTACTAAATATTTAAAATGGGTTTTCTTTATTTATCTCACAAATTCATTAACCTTGGATGATAAGACTCTTTTTAGTAAAGAGGAATTTTAATAAGTGGCCATGGTTTGTAAAAAGGATATGGTTAAGTGAACACTTGTTTTTTTTCCCCTGTATCATTGCAATTGTTGCGTCAAACCCTAGTAAATATCTAGGTCAGTAGGGGTCAACTATGATACGGTAGGGCTAAGTTGGTTATACAATTGAAAATTGACACACCTGCAATTTTTAAATCTTGCACATATATTAAAATTCATTAAAAACATGTACGTGTAAGGCAGATTATTGCAGTTGATCAGTTTGGAATTGCATTTCCTAATTACAGTCAGACAACGTTATCATGAGGTTGATTTAATCTTTTTCAAATATAAGTGCATATATATTTTCGATATATCATTAGCACTTGAAAGATATCCATCGATACGTTTTCAAAACAAGGGACCTGTGTGTTGTTTCTTTAATAGGGTATAAAAAATTGGGTTGAGTAAGATGATGCTTTGTATTTGATGTCCTAGGCACTATACGAAAACACGGAAGTTAAAACTGTAATCCGGACGACGAACGGAGTCGCCATGCAACCCTAAATGTTATATTTCTTCGAATCAGGAGAATGCGTGAAAACAATTGTAGACTATAGAGGGGTGAATTTGGTTTTGTTTGTGGAATAAATATTCTTTTTTCAAGGGGTAGCACCCCTGCGAGGTGAAATTCATAATTTCAGGAACTTTTATGAATCGTTCATGAACATTCATGATGTGTTCATGAACGGTTCATGACTGGTTCATAAAGATGGTTCATGAACTTTATTCATGAATATATTCATAAAATGTAGTTCATGAACAAATGATGAATTTATATGAATATTGGTAATTTTCATTTTAAAGACAGAAAAAATGTAGAGTTCAAGGTATTATGAATGTTCGTGAATTTTCATGAAGACTAAAATAATTGACAAAAATGATTGACAGAAAACACTCATTACTCTCATAATGCAACTTTTGCATGCAGATGCAATTGTTGAACAAGCCCCTGGCATAATTTATATTTAATAACATTCTTTCACCAACTATCCGAAAAAATAAATCATGAAATCTCTAAACATTTCGTGTTTTTCTTTAATTTTACTTAAACAAACACTGCATCACCACTGACAGCATTTTTTTCAAATTGATTATTTATGTTTCTTCATAATTTAAATTAAACAGTAATATTCATCATAATGTGCTTTAAATAATGTCATTTTTCATCACACAACTTTGTTCGACCGAATTTTCTCTAACATCAAACTTTAAGCAAGTTGCAAAATAAAAAAAATTCACAGTTTCTTTTACAATGTTTTTTGAGACAAATATAAAAGCATATACCACTCAGATGTACAATATAAGCACACTTTTTAAAATGTATGTATTCTCAATGAAACTGCAAAGTATTTTACATCAAAGGTTATTAACAGATATATCCAAGAAAAAATAAGATTATCACCTTGGTTAAATTAATGATAATCAAGTTATGATATACATGTAATGCAGTAAACTAAAGTATGCATTTTTTTTTAAATAAGAGGTTAGATTCATTAAATGACATTGGCCAAGGATTGGGAGAGGTCATTGAAACCTCAACAGGATATACATTTACAATAAAGTGCCAGAGGCCCATGTACATTTACTGTACAAAATTAGTGACTAGAGTGACAAACACATGTATTAAATGCAAAAATATATGTAGTACACAACTACATTGATACAAAGATCCCACAAAAATGAACAGTTGCTATTTTCCACCAATGTACATGCCAAAGATCCCAATTATGGAAGATACAAAACTTCTGACATGTTGCTAGAATCACATCCTCACAGATATCCCATGAAATTTGCAATAGAGGGTTGACAGATATTTGGCATCACCAACAGATTCACTTTTAGTACGAAGGCTCAGCAAGTTCGATGTTGATCATTCAAACAGACACTTCAAACTTCCCTTGCACAATTTCTGAAAGAGGAGATGACCATTTAAGATGTATCATTATTGATATCAGTATAAATATATGACAAATAATAAACTAAAGCTCTACAAACAATTGTTCTTTTCTACCTGGCAGATCAGTTTACTGAAGAATATGAATTCACTGTCTTGCAATTTTTTGTTCAAATTAGGATTAATTCTGATATTAAAATGTAAAAATGTGAAAAGTATATAGACAACAGACAAACACAAGACTGTGACACTGATCAAAAAACTCACTTAGGCCTTAAAATGGCTCAGGTGAGCTTAAATGAAAAGGCTAGAGCTGAAGCTCAATGACTGACTAACATTGAAAAAAATTAATTTCAATTCATGTGATTTTATTGATTAAGAAAATAATGAAGAAATCTTACCATTTTTTTTATACAGTTCTTGTCCTAACTCTTGTGAGCATCCGGATTCCTGTAAAATGCATGCATGTATACTTCATAGAAGATGATATCTTTGATTAAATTTGATCCAAAATAATTATACATACCCATGCTGTTAGCATGTTTAGATTACCTTTCAGAATTCATTGTTAAAAATAATAAGGATATGGAAATTAGGCATGTTAAGAATATAAATCTTTAAATGTTGTTTACTTGGCATAGTTGCAATATTTATTTTAATCTTATGCTTAAAGACATATAGATTAATAAAATCAAAGTTAGTTTATTTGTTTTGAATGATAATATTAATTTGAGCTGGTTCTCACCATATTCACAAGCCTAGTGACTGATTGGTTAAGCATCTACATGTATATGCACTTTTATCAAAGGCCAGGGCTGTGAAAATCATCTCAGGCAATGCAGCAACTATTAAAACAATCGAAACATGCAAGATTAGAGCTGAAAATGGTCATGAACATGCATTACAAAATATATAATTAATTACATGTACATCATACTCTGTAAATGTTATCTTGAACAAAGGAAGGTACAGATAAAATTCTTTACATCAGTTCGATTCCAAGCAAGGAAATTCGGGTTAAAATCAATGACCTTAATGATATGTATAGATTTGTTAAATAATGATTACAGAAATAGTGCTTGTCCTAACGATTTCACCGTCGGGCATTTTATGTATGGTGCATGGTGCCCGGATTAATCAAAAGTAGCAGAAACATTCTTCGTTCGAGGACACATAAAATACTGTACAATATTGTACCTACCGGTCTTAAAAATGTCGTCATCTTCTTCCATCCCAAGCTGACCATGATCTCCCTGTTCGTGACACTCATTCCAACTTTCCTACTGTGGAACATCAACATGGTATTCGATATTTTTGAATTTCGGTGTTGTTAAAATTAATTGTTCATCGAGCCCGACTTCGATCCCGATGTTATTGTAATATTAGTCCAATTTAATTGATGACGCAAAAAGTTCGAATTCTTCATTAATAAAACTTGTTTTGATATAAAAAAAAATTGTATTTTCAGTGAAAAATTATTCAGATAGTGTTTGTTATTTTTTTAAACAGAAATCTTGGAAATTCGAAACTAACGTATTTCTTAGCTCTACCGTACATTTTTGAAAAGGCGCAAACTTGAAAACGCGCGAGACGTTGGAAGTGGGAATTTGGAGAGTGGAAGGATCGGTATTTGTGATCTATAATATTTGCAAAGTCACTGATCTTTGTCAACTTTTAAAGAAAATAACAGAATATGAAGAAGGAAGACTATATATAGGATTGATCTACTTCATAACTGGTGAGTGACAAAAAATGGAGCCAATCACTGAGTCAGAAATCTTTCTGTAAATGTTACTGTCTATTTGTAAAATTAATAAATATGTCTTTTTTTTTAAATGAAAGTTTTGTCTAACTTTGCTTTGAGTTTGGATCCAACCATATAACATACATTAATTATAGACTGAGACTCGAAACATTCATAGGCCTGATTGATCTACAAAATGGCGGTCCAAGAAAATAGGCTTAAATTCCATTCAGAATGTTTTAATTTGGAAGTGCCTCTGATGCAAAATTAAAATGCAAGAAAATACACAAAAAAGTCTTATGTTTTACAATCATGGGTAATTTCAGAAAATCTTTCTTTTTGAAGGAAAAAGAGAAGCAGTTCACAAATGTTGATGAGCAGAAGACAAGAAACTCTGGCTGCAAAAAAAAATCTGAGCTCTTGAAAAAGAAAGAAAAAAAGAATTGAAAATATGAATGATATTCAGTCAAAGGATCCAAATGATGAAATTCTGGAAATTCCACATGGAGAGACAATAAGGATTTTTGAATTGACCATCTCTGCTATAAGAACTGCTTGAAAGCTGTTACCCTGGTGCTGAACAAACTTTTCTCCTAGACTGGAATTAAAAATTGTTCAATTTCTGGCATTAAAACACAATTTGAAATATGCTGAGGAAGGACCACCCTCTCCTTTTGACCAAGTAAGGTTAAACATTCTGCAAGGAGTTGCATTTGAATTGAAATTTTTTATACTTTTACCAGGAATGAACTACATTACTCATTTACTATGGTTTAATGTGTCAGAATTGTCTATTTTAAGTTTTTTGACAAAGATTTTGTTGCCATGGTTGGAAAACAAACAACATTTCTGTGAAATCTTTCAAGATGCTGTATTATAAATCATCTACTGTTACTTTTTTAGCATGACTTCATGCATTTTCATGAATAAACATGAATAATAATATTGGATTTTTTGTTTACAAATAAGCAAGAATATTCATGAATGATAATGGTTCATGAATTTTATTCATTCATGAACATTCCTGAAAAAATTCATCAAATTATTCATGAATAGTTCATGAAGATGCAATGAACTTATTATTGGACATTCTTGAAATGATGAATCTTCATGAATATGACTGTTCATGAATTATTCATGAAAAAAAATATTCATGAATATTCATCAATTTTCTTTCATGAATAAAAATTCATGATTTGAAAATGTCCAATAATAAGTTCATAGGATCTTCATGAACATTTCATGAAGATTTCATGAATAAAATTCATGAAAAATTCAAGGAAATTCATGAATTATTCATGATCGTCTCGCAGGGGCACTGTGCCTCCTTGGTCTGTCAATACATTTTCCATAGAGAGCTACAATCTATCATTACTTCATTTGCTGACTGGCGTTTCTTATTCTAATTGTTAGAAACATTTTTACACAATGCAGTGTCTTTTGATTTCTCCATTTTTTCTTAATCATGGCAATGAGTACACAGCGGGTGTGGTCGATCGGTCGAATTTCTCATTTTATGGCACCTGATCCACCCTCCTAGAGGTCCATATTCCCTCTGCTCCTTATTTGTAATGGTTGAATGGACTTTTGAGCTTGAATACGAGTTATTTCCAAATTTCATGCAATAAAACAATACTGGCAAATAGGCCATCCTTAAAAAATTGTTTGTTTGGAATTGCCGCCTGAAGGGTTTCAGACACAGGAGGGAGGTAGGGAATTTATTTTTTTTTTTTAAATTGAAGATAAATTTTAAATTTTTGATAAGAATCTCAGTAAACAGTAAATACATTTTCTGACTTATCTACCATCAACAAAAAAACCTAATTTTACATAGATCTGACACTATCTTTCAGTGTCTTGTATGGTGCATGTGATACACGTAATGGGCAAAAAATTGATTAAATAAAAAAATTTTCCTACTTTTGGTCAATAAATTTTTTTCAGGAGGGGGCATTTCAATGAGGCGGGAGGCAATTCCAAACAAACTATAATTTTCATTTTGGCCTTATAATACAAAACCTCTTTACAAATTGTCAGTCACAGGTACGAGGGTTGATCCAAAAGTTAGGTAACAGTGTCCATATCTTTTATATTTAGCGTCTTATTATCAAATATAATGTACCAAAGATGCACGTTGTAATTAATTTGATATTTTGAAAAGTATAAATCATGTTGATTTAAATTTTTCAGTACAGATTTAAAATAAATATAGCTTCCATCATGTGTAAAATTATTTTTTTACGTCGACTAGTAGTTGTGATATTATTTGTGGATCAAACCTCATAAAAGTTTATGAAAAAAAAATTAATTATTCTCTAATCTTGAACAGGAAATTCTCAATTTCATGCTCTATGATATCTGCAAAGGTTTTGGTAAACTATATTTGATTTGCCCGCTTTCCCTTGTGCGGATAATCATGATATCTTATTTGACGAAAAATAAGTATCGTTCGAATATAAACATTGCATTGAAACATGAAAGACAAATAAACAACTTGTTTCTAGGTAAAAATGTTAATACCTTCATAATTTCATTCAGATACATGTTATGGAATGTCCAAAATATTGAAGAATAAAAGATTGTTAAAGCTATTAAATCTATTGAACATCGCACAATGCATATTGAAGTCTTATTTTGAAACACATCGCATCTCATCGGGGTCTCAAAATTTTTAAGGTGTCATTTTTTTTGCATTCAGAATCTTTCGATAGCTGTTTTCAAAAATTTGCCAAACTTTTTACTTTTTTTTTGGTCTACTGATAGCAGGCATACTAGTATTATAAAACCTTGCCAGGCTCCAAAATTAGTGTAATCTCTAAATTGTCTATAAGGTTAAGGTATTTGTCTAGTCCTAAAAGTTGAAAAGTGGTTTGACCTTTAATTAAAATCTATATATTTAAGAGACTAAACATGAAGCTTTTTTATATCATAATCCATTTCATTGTGTTTTCACAAAGAGACTTAATATCAGTTTACCTGTTGACTTGATACATACCAGAAAACTCGTAAGAAAGATTGGTACACTGTGTATACATAGAGTATGTAATTATAACTTTACATTACAAGCAATGTGACTTCAGCATTACCATCGTTATAGTTTCTTACTTCGGTCCAATATTCCACAATCACCTGCTTATGGCGTTTATGACCCATAACTGATTCGATATGCATGAGCATTTCATGAATGCAATCGTTAAATAGAGACAAGCTACTAAAACAAAATGTTTAGCACAAATTTTATCAATCCAATTTTATTCTGCATTTAGCAAATTCTCCCGTCGATATATCTTTATTGATAAAACCGATCGTTGGGTCGCATTTTGTCTGAAATGTTAGATACCGTCTGATTAATCACAATTTTGTAACTTTATCTAATCAATGCATACATGTATGTCTCATGGCGGGTGTGACCGGTCGACAGGAAATCCTTACTCTTCATAGGCACTCTGTTTCCAGGGAACCGTATTTTTTCCTTGTTTACGATTCGCTTTGCTCATTGGATTTATAAAAAAAAGATCGCTGGTATATCTTAATCCTTTGAAAATAAGTTTACTATTGAAGCTCAAAAGTCCATTAAACAAAGCAAAGTTTGGAGCAGAGCAAACACGGACTTCTGAAGCATCAGAAGGTGGGATTAGGTGCCAAAGAGAAGTGAGCATCCCCGCCGATCGGTCACAACCGCCGTTTGCTCCTTGTCACGATCAAGAAATAACGGAAAATTCCGTCGACAATGCAGTGTATAAATAATGGCCTAACAATAAGTATCAATAACGTCAGTGATCATTTGACTTAATGATAGATTGTATTAATAAAGAAAAAACATTCTGTTTACAAATAATTTGTTTTTGTTTATAATTTATCTTGTATGTTAAAATTTTGCTTTTTAAATTGTATCAAATTATAAATGCTTATATTTTTTATTAAAACTTTGTTTTTTTCTTTATTTAAAATAATTTGAATTTTATGTTTGATAACGAAATTGAATTTATTCCTTTAAAGTCTTGCATTGATACTTTCATGACTTTATAATGCATATTTCTATTCTTTCAATTCTATTTCTTTCTTCTTCAATATTTGCTTTTTCATATTTTGTGGGTTTTTTTTAAATAATAAAAACGACCTCTTTAACTTTTTTTTTTATGGAATTAACATATTTCTTTATTTAAAAAAAAAGAATCAGGACACATCGCTTCGGTTAGGGTCGGCAATTTTTGTAGGTGTCAGATTCTTTTGCATTCAGTTTAAAGAAATTTTAGATTATACGCTCTTTTAAATAGATAGTAGATATTTCTTGTCGGTTCGTTGATTACTAGGTAACCATCTTTGTAGGATTTTTCTTTACCTACTAGTACGCTGCGTGAATATGGAATTTTTACTGCTTCTTAATTTATTTTCTGAGGTAAAATTTTGCAATAGTTTACTTTACGTATTATCCTTAAACATTCCTCATTTTTAACAAATCCCTTGTAATGATTACCTCACTAATGATTTTCTCAGCTATAAATACACTTTTTCCTAATCGTCACCTGCTCATTGATAAATCAACCACCATACCTAATGTAATCAAGTTTTCCAGTAAACATGCTTCTTAAATTTTCTACACTAGCCAGCAGACAAAACTTCTAAGCTGACTGCGTATCGCTTATGCCTTGATATAAGTTTGATAGACATCGGTTAGAGTATTAGTGAGTTTAAACTGCGGTAATTCCGATGTTATAGAAGTAATGGAGCGCAATAAGTCTATCATTCAAATATAGCCTAATAGTCACCCAGTGCCTTTTGAATTTGTAATATGCTCTTCACACTTCTGGTTGCTACAAATTTGTGGTACTATTTTGGAAAAAAAGGCCTCAAGACCATGAACTTAATTTATTCAAAATTGATGATCATTTTGTGTAACTTTTGAAAAAATTCTAATAATAATATAATATTTTCATTAGATGTTTGCTTTTGAATATAACACAAAGGTACAATTTCTTAAACATACATTAAAATTATATATATATCGATATCAATATAAATTTAAAAAAGAGTCTTTTCTTAGATTACTGTTTTAAATTTAGGATTAAACTCCGTATGTCCTTGTGAACTATAGGTAAAAGCCAACATGACGTTTGTCACGTTTGTTTCTTACTTGGATATTTTACTGGCTATATAGAAGTCAACCGCCAACTTATAACTGTTGAAGATAGAGGATATGTTCTCAGTATTTCCATCGCCAACTTTCCCTGTTTATATAATTATATAATTATCTTGTCAAGTAAGTTGATTTACGGGGTTTACAAATACCGTGAATCTCATTTAAGGTTAAAAATTATATTGAACTTGTTTAAAAATACAAATCATTACCGGGTTATATTAGGTTAATTGTACATGCATTTTTACTCACAATATATCCAGCACTAACTTAGTTACTGATTTCAGTCATTGTTCACTAGTTGCACTGCGAATTATTCAGTTTAACTCATCAACACAGAGGGAATTTGGTGGATGTTTCCGGACAATATTGAATGTTAACTAATATTTAGTATCTATAATCCTACCCCTTTAGTTTGTGTTTTTGCCCCCTTGACGATTCTTCTTATTTTCCCCCGTTGATTATTATGTTCGCTCACCTGACGCAGTGGTTAGATGATTTGCTCTCATGTGTCAGAGTTATGAGTTGATTCTTACATCCGGGTTCAAGTCCGACTGTGGTATTTGAAGACCGTTCTCTTAGAGGAGACCTATAAACGGAGGTCCCATGTCGCAGTAGCGAAAACGATAACTGATCAATAGCCATAGGCCTAAATTTGCAGCCCTTCCCCAGCAAGAAATGGCCTCTTTATTTGAGTGAAAAATTATCGATAGGTATTTAAAAAAAATAAACAAACAAACCAAAACTTGATATATGAGACTGATCAGTGTTTGTTACTGGAGTATCTTCGCATTTCTCTCTGTGCAGACACTTTACTAACACTGAATGCTGTACCACGCCACTCTGTGGTCAAACACTTCAAACGGTGCGTGCCAGTTTTTTTAGTTTAATGAATACAAAATAAAGGAACAAGAAGAATGCCAAGAAAAATTCATTCCTCCACTTTTAATAAATTCTTTGAACTGAAATTGCATCTCTCTAGCTAAGGGTTTTAGGTCCACTCCGTTCCTGAAAGAGCAGAGTGGATCGTGGCAAGCAAAACTTATGGAATGGTTACGCTCCAGTAAAAATTCCTTTTGTAGTTTGGGGATTTAAATGTCTGATTATTTAATAAGGTTACGTAAGAATACATCAAGTGTATTTATCAATATAATATACTGAGATTACCTGCATATCTTGTTTATGTCTTCTAACTTTTTTTTAAGTCTCCCAACTTTTTTGGTACTCAAACGTATGTTATGTAAGAGCAATATTAAAAGCGAGGCATGTCGCTAACAGAAAGGTTGTACCAGTTATTTCGATAACCCCGTTTAAAGGTCATAAAGTTTAAGGTCATTACAATGACCATATTAAGAAATTTAACTTATCAGCCATATTTTGGCTGATGTTTTTCAAAGCAAGAGTTACTAGGCCTTTCTTTCTAATTCTAATCTGACTGGAGGATCTCCAGAATTAATACATATTTAGGTGATTGATACACTTGTCTCCCGGCGGGTTTGATTGGTCGACAGGGGATGCTTTTTTTCACCTAGGCTTTTTATCTTACCTCTAAATATCCAGGGGTCCGTATGTGATATATGCTCTGTTCAAAATGAACATAGTTTATTTTTTAGATCAATCACAGTCAATTGCCTTCACTTTTTCCCCATAGCATAAACCTTTTGCAAAGGTAATTTTACCGTAGCGATACGTTAGCTATAGTTTGTCTAATACTGAGTATAGAGTATTAAACTCCTATCACGACGATCATGTACGTAATTGATCAGAGTATCGGTCATTCTGAGAAGATACAAGAACATTCTTTCTAAGAATTCAGATCAAACCTCCTAGCTTTAAAAAATACCACCAGGTGTTATGTGTAGAAAGACCCAGACACGTAACGAGCTTACACATTTTCATTTCTGCACTGCGACCTAAATGACGGGTAATTGTGTTTTATTTCACCTGCTCTTTTTCTTAATGTTTACAACTGAAATTATTTATGAGATGATAGAAACTCTTATCACATTTGTATCTCTGGAATTTGTGCAACGGGCTGATAAATTTTTTTAAGGCCAATCTGTTTGCAGTCAATGCACTCTTCAAGATTTTTCTAACTTTATTTCAATGATGTCATTCATAGCGTACTTGAAATTTGTTTGGATTCAAACCGCATGAGATTGTGCATCTGAAGAACACAACACAGATTTGTTTTTTATTCAGTTTTTTTCACCTTAAAGAGGAATTTATGCATTCATTGGAGGATATCAACTATAGCATTCATCATTGTAATGTTAATTAAGGTCTGTATAATTTAATTTATTGCCTGTCTCAAATTTAAAATGATACAACTTTGTATAACATTTCAAATTTTATAATACACATTGTTTTGATATTTAAAGATCAATCGCAATATCGTCTGCTCAATTTTTAGGCAATGCCGGTCTTTAATTTTCTTGGCTCTCTCATATACCGGGTGGACCTTCTTGATAGATTATGCATTGTTTTTGTGCATTTTTTGTAAGATAAGTGAATAAATTGTGCATTGTTTTGTGCATTGTTTTAGCGGGATAAGTGAAAAAATGTTAATTTTTTTTATCAAGCTTATCTCTCAATAACTACTTTTTTTATCAGAATATCTTTTTTACAACAACAACAAAAAAAAAAAGGAGAAAACTTTGGAACAGCCAGTTTTTGTTGCTAACGAGACAGAGAGATTTAATCATTTGAAACTAATAACAAAAATAAACAAGCTAATTCAGAGAATTCGTTTCCCCCGCTTAGGGAAAAAGTCGGATCCCCCTGACTGAATTTTTAGAATTATTAAAAGTATACATGTATACTGAAGCAAATAAAATACATGTATGTCAATATGCATATGAAGATTTGATTGCTTATTCTTTATTATGTGTATAGAAGATTCTTTTTATATGGAATATTTATCACACTGTAATGATGATTTTATAACCTCATAAATTTTTCATTTCACATGCTGAATACTATCATTTAGTAAAAAAAAAAGAAAAGTATTAAAAAAAAAAAAAAATAAAAAAAGGATCAACCGAGATTCGATCCCGGAACCTCTCACATGTGAAGCGAGAGACATACCACTAGACAATCGCTTTACCTGGATTCAAATATATGCAGAACTGAAGTCACATACATGTATATATTCATGTTCGGTATTCTCAAAAGTTTACACAATCCATGGTGTTTGATTTATTTAGCCTTTATTAAACAGTTCTTATAGATGTAATAAGAACAAAAAGTCCGCCGAGAACCTGTTTTATACGCAATAAATCTCCTCATGCCCCTGTGCTAAAAATAGCGACATGTAATACTATAAATACTAATAAAACAAACGGGGTGGGACACTTTGAGAGGGTTGAGAGAGGTCCTAGGGAGTTTTGGTATAAAATTATATTGCATAAGCTCAGAATCTTCTTGAAATCGCCCGGAAATGATAGTGTTACACACAGACAGAATGTATAAATTTACGACCTTGAACTTTGACCTTTTGACCTCAAAATAAATAGGGGTCTTCATTAGGCCACAGGGAGTTGTTATGTAAAATTTCATTGCGATAGCTCAAATGGTTCTAGAGATATCGTGTGGAAACGAAAGTGTTATAACAGACAGAATTTGCTTACTTATGACCTTGACATTTGACCTTCTGACCTCAAAATCAATAGGGTTCTTCTTTAGGCCATAGGGAGTTGCTATGCTAAATTTCATTGCAAAAGCTCAAAGGGTTCTCGAGATATCATGTGGAAACGAAAGCGTTACAGACAGACAGAAAGACGGACGGACAAACCCAAATTAATATCCCCCACTTTTCAAGCGGGGGACAATATAAGAGGTTATGAATTCTAAGGCCCCGTAATTGAAGATTCGGGGATATATAGTTTTTGTCCTGTCCGCCCGCCCGTCTGTCTTTCTGTTTATCTCTTTGTCTGCCTTATCGGTCTGTCTGTCTGTCTGTTTGCAAAATGTTTGACCTTTCCCGTAGCTTTTGAGTGGGTGGGGTTATGGCTTACATATTCCACAGGTACATATTCTCTGAAATTAGACCTTTCTTTGAGTACAACAAAATGAGACCGCTTGCCCTTGAACTTGGAGCTTTCCCGAAATCTTTAACCTTAGCTATGCTATTAAAACAGTCGGTGTAAGGAATTTCTTATTCAATTTATAATGTACATTCATTGTGACAAGGCCTTTCAATGGGTATAAATATTATTTTTTTTACCCTTTTATCTTGACCAAAGAATTTGGCCTACTTAAAAAAAATAATTTTGGTCATAAATTTTGAATAATTACTACTATCATATTTCACAGGATTATTCCTTATAACAAGGCCTTCAATTGGATACTAACAATTATGACCTTTTGACCTTGACCTTGGAATTTGACTTGTATTAGAGAAAGTTCAGCACTTTCTCCGTCATATAGGCATTAGTATTATACAAACACATCTTGTTCGTGCATTTTTGCTTATATTTGAATATGGCAAGTGCACCTGCAAAGTTGCTCGATATTTGATGTTTGTCCAGATGAAATATAACGTACAGTATTCCTCCTGGTCTCACTAATAGTGCGATTAATAATTTATGTTATAGAATACCATTTCAGTCAACATTGATTGACGGGTAACCGTGGTTATCTATAGATTTCCTTTATTTTTTTTAAGCATTGCGGTTTATAGCACCGTATGTGCTACTAACTGATAACAACAAACTGAAAGTAATGTTGTTACTTCATAAATAAACGGGAAACATTTGTGTATTGTGCCGCACAGTGACTATGTTTGGTTACAGAATAATGCATTGTAAATATCTCGCTCTAAAGTGTAAAACTGGTGTTATTACCGGCAGTAATGGGGATAAAATTTGATAATGTAAGAATTTTTACACAGTATTCAATTGTTAAAGAAAAATTTCCTATTTCCAGCACGCATCGTTTTAAACTCTATAACACATAAACATACAATAGCCTTGAAATCTTTCTTTAAATATACCCTGTTGATATTGCTGAATAAAAACTAGATCATGTTTTAAAATCATTTGATAAGTGTCAACTTCCTATTGGTAAGTAAGTTTAATATCCAGTCAAAGAATTTTAGCAAACAATGGAAACTGAACATCGTTCATATTCATTGTTTTAAGTAAGTTACTAAGGACTTTATTTGGCAAAGACGAAACAAACCAAAAATTACACATTAAAGTATATAAAGCAACTAAAAAATCGTTATATTTTGAATCATTTTAAACGGGATAAAAATACGGTTGGTTAAATATGTCCAAATTCCATTATATGAGAGCTTAATGGTAGGTTTGATTTTGTACCATCTTCTACAGGTGTATTTACATCCAAACAAAAGTTAAAACAATATGTCTTATAACTTGCTTTTATAATTTTGACTGATTTCTTACATATTTGCTAAGTATAGTTTTTTTTAAAGTTTTTTTCCGTATCCCTAACAATGTAAGTTGAAGAGCAAGTTATACATATAATTAAGACTTTTTTCCTCAATCCTTAATTGACACGTTTTAGAAAATATACTTATAACGTAAATATTAACGTACAGAAATCTTCTAAACGTTCTGAAACTTGAAAAAGTACTGTGTAAATGGAGTCAAAAATTTCTTTTTATTTTTAAATTTGTGTAGGTTATGGGTGCTGCAGGAAACTGTGAAAAATTGAAGGAACTGTCTTGAGAAGCGAACAATGGAACAAACAAGGATCTCCGTTATATTTTTTATTATGAATTATTCGATAATAACCAAGTGCTTTTTTTTCAACGAAAAGGAACTTGGAGGTTTGAAACTATATTTTCACAATTTTTCAACATAGTAAAATCGTTTTAGGACTTTTTTTTTTATTATAAATAATGTATTTTATTTATTTGAATGAATCGCCATGTAATATTTAAATTTGATTAATTTTTTTATTTATTATAATCGATAAGTATCTTAGTACAGTGACAAAACCTTTGAGATATCAATAAATCGCTAGGTTTTGTTAGATTAGACCAGTATTTTGACAATGTCATAATTATTTCAAATTTAACATATTTATGCGAATTCTCTAGCTTATAAAGACGTATCTAGTATTTACATGTACATATTAATTGAATTTTTACTTAAAGTGTGTTCCCTTTATTTATTGCTACTTTAATCTATGTTAAATTGTGTTTCCTACAAAGGAATGTAATCCGTTTTAAAGTGTCTATTGAACAATATATAAAAGAATAAAAAAGTTCTTTAATGAAGCATATGGATATAACGAACAGTATTCATGATGAAAAGTCATAAAACAAAACAAAACAGGAGCAGAGCAAACACGGAAATCCGAAACATCAGAGTTGGGATCAGGTGCCATGGAGGAGTGAGCATCCCCTGCCGACCGGTCACATCCGCCGTATGCTCCTTGTCATGATCAGGAAATAACAAAAATTCCGTCGTTAATTCAGTGTATAAATAATGGACTAACAATTAGTATGAAAAACGTCAGTTAGCATTTGACTCGATGATAAATTGTATTTGCTGACAAGGTCATTGTATCGACAATAGAAGTTACAAAATGATGAATTTAAACGGGACTGCTCATATTTCTGTTTCAATAACTTATTTGTCAAATAATTTGACTCACTTTAGAAGTTGTTCATACCTTATGCTCTTGCGTATCTAATCAACTGAGATATATAAACTCCTTATGCAGGTGATGAAGGTATATTGCTTCTTGAGTAATGGAGGTTGACGATAGAAAAGTAAAAGTCATCACGCTTATCGTAGAATTTCGTTGTTAGATTACCATTAATGTCTCTTTCAAGTAAAATATCTAAATATGAAACAGATGTGTCAGACTCTGTGGTATCTTTTATCTAAAGCTCACCAGGATATATCGTATTGACATAAGAATGGAAATTACCATTGTTAATTGACAGTACGTCGTCGATATATCTCAATGTCGAGTTGAAGGCTACAGCAAGTGTTTTCTTCTTTTCACGCAGAATATTTTGCACAAATCCTGCTTCATACGCCTGCTAATTACAGGGCGCAATTGGTACCCATAGGAATTCCAATATATTGTTGGAAGGTCTGGTCTCCAAAAACAACATAGATATTGTCAGAAACTCAAGCATCTTTTTGATGTCGACTTCAGAGTACTTAATATGGCTTGATTTTAGAAAGTTTTGGAAAGTATCTATATATAAGGCAAACAGTATATATTTTACAAATATTGACGGGTTCCTTAAAATATAGAACTAACGTGATTTAGATTTAATAAAAAAAACCCTTAAACATTATAAAAAATATGTGTATAAAAAGTTCCATATTTAACCTGAGGAATTTATAGTATTTATGATTATCAACAGAAATATCTCCTATAAACCCCTTGGCATTAGTGAATGAGATTTTGGAGTTAAATTGCACAGTTTATGAAGATTCCGGATTGAACAATTCAATGATATTCTGGGAGGATTACAATGAAATAAGAGTGTCGGAGAATTCAACGATTTCTGTTGAAGAACGTACTTTGTTATTTAAGAAAAACATCACAAGTGTCGAGGAGGAAGGGACGTATGCCTGTAGGAGTATCGATGGTCGTGATATTTCTCATTCTTCTCTTGTAGTTGAATGTAAGTTTCTATTTTTTTTCAAATGTTTTTCCAATTTTGTCATCTCCCGAATAATGAAAAGATAACTTGGAATGGATTCAGAATTATCATGTTACTTCTTTAAAAACTTTAAATTATAATCTAGGCGAATTTTAATGACTAAGTCATGCACTCTAGATACACGACGAATGACTTGGGATCAAAGATATTAGGAGACATGTAATTTTGAAACATAAGATTGAGGTTTTTATGTATCTTTGATAGTTGTTGCTTTAAATGATTGTTCAATAGTTCAATTATACTTGAAACTTTGCTCTATAAGCAATGTTGTAGGACGAAATTGATCAGATAATTTCATTTAACCAAAATATTACAAAATTTACTGCTTAACTCGTTATAAAAGATGTAACCTTTTTATCTCTTTGTTCTTTATCCTTTTTTGACGTTTAAATACTGGCTTCTTTTTCTTCTTACCGTTCTTATCTCCTTCATAATTTCTCGGAGAAAAAATATATTTCACCCTTCATATACTCTTACGAAGAAAAAAAGGGCATCATTTCTGACTGATGAAAACAATATAGTTTTGTTTATTAATAGATGAGGCGGTGCGTAATGTAACAAACTTTACCTGTGTTCTATATAAAAGTCAAGATGAGTTCACGTGTACCTGGAAACTTGGACTGTATCATCATCCTGCCTATCTTAAAGTTAGTGCGAGCGTGTGAGTAGATTAAATATATATAGTGATTAGATTAAATATATAGTGATTGATTGTTACTTCAATTTACAAAAATAAAAAGTTGTTTGATATTTAAATTCATTTAATGAAAGAATGACTCTTATTCGCTAACTTCATTTTCATTGAACGCATATTTATATTTTCATCCCAGTTTTGAATAAATTTTATGTACGTAATTATTTTTAAAAAATTGTTATATATTAAGGTCCATGGACAATAAAGGACTTGTTTCATGTCCTCAAAATGAAAGAGAAGAATGCACATGGACATCAGCTTCTGGTGCAATCAACTCTGTTCTGAAGATTGTAATTCTTATAGTAACAAACCAGAGGTATGGCGTCAGTGAAACATTTCGCAGGGTTTACACTACTCGGGATATAAGTAAGTGTTGCTATATACACAACCGCAGAAATTCCATTATAAAAAAAGATTGATAAGCACGAGGCATATCATTTCTTTTTTTTTCTTTTGTTGCACAATAGCTCAATAATTTAACCTTTTCAAGGTTTTAACTTTCCAAATGTGTTGCAGCAAAATATGACCCTCCAAAATCAATACAAGTTATGAACCAGAATTCAACAGATTGTACATGTGCTTATGTTTCTTGGGAAGGCATATCTGGTGGCGTGGATACCTCCTCTCGAGTTACCCTGCATTCGAAATGGGAGACCAGTTATATTGTGAGCAACAGAGAGCATACTGTCGTTCATTCATTAACTTTTTACTAAATAAATCATTTAAGTAGGCAATAATTTTGTAAATGATTCGGCTTTATATGAATTGTTGATATTTTCAATGAATCCCAAGGTCATTTATTCTTATTGTTCAATATTTTATATCAAAATCATTTACTGAAATAAACATTAAATAGTAAAGAGAGTGAAAATTGAGCCATAATTTTTGTTTAAATCAGTAAGATGAATCCGAAAAATAAATCAGGATATGAAAGTATCTTCTATAACTACAGTCTGTTGAAGTGGTCGGGAACACACGTGTTACTGTATGTGACTTAGTACCAGCTTCTGTGTATGTAGTTCAGGTGCAAGTGAAGTCCACCGGAGGGAAATACTACAGCGACGTAAACAAAACTTCATTTGACACATGTTCAATAGGTAAAGTTAACTTACAGTTTTTCTTTGGTTAATTTACACACTATATATACTCTTTTTGTATGTTGCATATTTTATAAATTACTTATAGCTCCATCTAAGGCGCCTTCTGTAAACGTCAGTGGATATTCATCTGCTAAATGTCCCGATTCGACATCTCATCGAAAAGTCACAGTTTATTGGAAGGTAAGCTATCTTGTCATTTGGACCTTACTTTGCAATCCTTCAGATAGCGCTACTTGGGTCAACCTATTCAATTCTTAAATAGTGCTATTTGATTCTACATATATAGTCAAAATAACCCTAACCCTAACTATCAAGATGTACACACTTGATATTAAATTAAAAGAAGCAAAACTGTCACATGTTTGTTTTGATTTAAAAAAAATATAGGCAATGATTGTTGATAAAAGGAATGATTTGTCAAATTTAACTTTCCGTTTTGAATTAGAAAATTCCAAAACGATTTCAAAATGGTCGTTTGAAAAACTATACCATTTTCAATGGAGATGTAAATGTTCAAGTGAGCCCAGACAGTTCCTTTGGAGAGGTAGAGATTCCATGTAAGGGCAGCAGTAATGTTACCGTTAAGGGGTGTAATGATGAGGGTTGTTCACCAGAGTCAAGTATAACGATACCACATATAAAAGGTAACTTTTAAGTAGAGACTTAAGATATTCCTTATGTTTTATTGTGTCAATCTGAAAGCAAAAGACGATATGTAATCTCTTGTCTGTCGGGGCACACAAGAGATTAATTTAAAGAAGCCAACTTGATATGCAGTGTTTTCGAAAGATCCTATATGAACTATAATTAAAATAAGTTATTATATATTCAATATCTCTCGATTCTTTTACAGAGGTTATTTTGCCTACAAGAGTGATTGTGGAACATTTTAATGAATCAACGGTAAAGGTTTCTTGGTTTCATACAGACGGACAGGCAGCAGTTGATATAATTTGGTGTAACGGAAGATCAGGAACACTGCAATGCTTGGTAAACAATACAAAACTATACATATTTGTACGTGGCAGAGACTCCATATTTGAAGAATTGTGAATATTGTTTAATAACTTGGATTTTTTCTCATGTAGGATGAAATAGAATTACAGAGAATGATAGGAAGTGATTCTCACACCTTTCTATCAGCTAGTGACGTTAATAGCAAAATTGACGAAGTCTATTTTGGTGTAGCTATCATAAATGACAGACAATTAAGTGGCGGTATAAAATGGCAGGAAGCATGCAGATACCAGATGAGAAGAGGTACTATTTCACTGTTTCTGTACACTAAATAGATAAATTCTGTCATTAAATATAAACAGCAATTTAATTTTCTAGTCTTTTTAACAACAAATAAAGGTTGATTACCATTCTTTTTCCTAATTTGTACTTTTATGTCATTAAATTTATGAGGGAGTTGCATTATATTTGTAAACATTTATATTTTCAATTTGATTTTGTTTTATAAAGTTGTCTGTTAAAGCTACGTGTTGAAAGCATCAGACCCAATTTAATCATTTATTGCACAGAATTTCAGAAATGCTTTGACGTAACCGGGTTATCTTTCCATCAGAGAACTATAAAATGTATGCCTTGTATTTGATTTTTAAGAAAATGAGTGTACATTTGGCAAAGTAAACTTAAATTGAATATACAATTCCTATTTTCGCAGAACCAATGAAGATACTCGGCGTCAAGCTTCTCCCAGACGCTCCAGAAAACAGCTTGGTTATATCATGGTCCCCTGTACTGTGTGATGCCTCAGATATAAACAATGTTTACGTTCACTCCTATGAAATCATTTTCTGTCGACTGGATTCTAAGAATCAATGCATTGGTAAACATAAATGATAAACCATGATTAAAAAAAGAACACTTCTAAAACATACAGTGCAAAAAACTGATAAAATAAATAGCTGAATTCATCCCGTATAGATCACCTGAGTGTACTCATGTATTTATCTTACATAACAGTTGCATTTTTTTCTTTTCATACAAGTTTGCTAAAAATTGATCTCTTTCAATAGCTTTAATAAACATATTTCATTCATTAGATCTAATTAATATATTATACGTCACATGTTATACTTTATGATATTTATATCATATTAAAACTCTCAGGTGAGGAAAGTTCTGTAGAAGTTCCAGCGACTGACAACACACAATACACTCTTCGAAATCTTCATTCTGAGGTTTATTATGGTGTGTGGGTAAGAGCTAGGTCATTGAGAGAGAATGGCCCTAGGAGTGACATGGTTTCAGGAATCCCCATAAATAACGGTACAAATAACCAATCCTGATAGTTTCAGCACGACCTGTTTCTTTAATTCAATACTGTAAAATCACCTATGTTTATGGGGTTAATTTTTTCATAGTTTGAAGAAAAACTCTTGGTTCGTGGAAAATTTTATTTTGTTGATGAAGAATACTAGTAGTTGAGTATTTATGTATGAAACAATTTACATTTCGTGGTTGAGAAGAGTTCATTGGTCATTTCATTCCTCGAAAACAACTAAAATTTAACCACTACGAATATGTATGATTTCACAGTATTTGTTTAATGATTTCCCACTTTGAAATCTGTTGTTCCGATAGGAATTTGTTAACTTTTAAGTTCATTTCTTACCTTTCCTAGATTTATCTACAAGTGCTATAACAGGAATAGTTGTTGCCGGAATCTTTGTTTTTATTCTGGTCATGGCAGGAGGAGTTTTTATTTTTAGGTATGTTATGTATTTCAGACATTTTAAATTTATATTGGAGTAAGAAAGTCTACTCTGCAAGCAGATTGAGTGCTATAAAGCTAATGTGAGTCACGGGACGGGAGCTAAATCTTGGTGCACAAATAGCATCAATATATATGAAAGTAGAGTATTGGAAAAATCAATGACTGTTGATCTTGTAGAAATGTAAGACGTAAACTTGGCTTAGACGAGACTTTCCCAATTCACTTACCTACTCTAGAATTTAAGGTGAGTTGAAACAATACCTATCGTACAAGAATTCTTCTTTCCTTTTGGAATTAAAAAAAGTACAGTTAAGATTCAATTATTTTTCCGTCACAATTAATTCCTTTCTTCCAGCTGTCTACTAAACCTTAGTTTTACATTTAGAAAATTGATAATTTCAAAAGTTTATCCAAAATATTTGAATCAAAGAAACAGAAGATGAACATGACAATAGACTTTCAGTTTTTAGTTAAAAAAACAGATTGTATGTTTTCACCTTTGTTTACCTCTGCAGACTGGGGAAACAAACCTCAGCACTCACGACAATGGAATCAAGTCTCCTTTCTGTATTTCTGTGAGTTATTATATTATACTACACAAGTATTCTGTATAGGAATAATCCAATACACAGTTCATAATCCATTTCATTGTTATGCTTAGAATGTAAGACAAAACCGTATATGTATTGAAGTGGAGATGTCGTTAGGGATAAATTTAATTTAAGACTTTGTAAGTCACTATTTAAAGTTAAAGTAATTATCAAAGCTTATGCACCTTCACCGTTATTGAGTATGACACATTTATCTGACCCCTGCTTTCTTTCGTATTTTTTATTCTGTTTGAGTTGCCTGACATGGGCCATATGTACATACATATTCTTTTGGACATTTTAGAGTGATTCAAAGGAATTAAGTGGATTATCACAATCAGGAGAGAGGGTGAATGTCCTTTTTACCACCCAGGAAACGTTGATCAAATTTCTGAAAGGAAATCCAACCAATAAACCCATTAATACTAATTATGACACACCTTTAGCCCCGACTGATGATGTTCCCAATAAAATAAGCGGACGTAAAGGGGGTGATGAGGAAAGTGTGTCCGCTAGGTTAGCCAAAAGTACACCTGCATCCCCGATACTAAGGCTCGGGGAAAAGCAAGACACATCGAAAGCAGAGGCAAAAGAAGTGCTTCCTCCTGATTATGCCAAAGCGACTATTATTGCACTAACTTGTCTCAATGGTAATGATATTGATTTTTGAGAATAAACCCCAAATTCTTTTTTTCAGGAATTATCTTTTGTATGATCAAAACTGAAAATCAATGAGTTCAAATTTCAGTCCATTTAAAGAGACAATTAAAAGACACATTTTCCTAATTTGGAAAAGGGTAAACGAATTTTAATAAATGGATAAAGATTTCTTAACAAGAACATTTATTGTCAAAAAATAAATCTTCGTCTGAATTTAAACAGATATAGAAAGCTCGCCATTAAAGGAAGAAATTGGTACATATATTTCGCCATTAAACTCTAACGGTAATACACCAGAACCAACTTTCTCCGGGGATTACAATGAAAAACAAAATGACGTAAATGCTCAAATATGGAAGAAAGGTATGATTTTTACAGGTATAAAAATATGAAAAAATGATATGCTAAGACATTTTTGATGATTATAGTCGGTAATGTGAATTTTAATGAACTTACTGTCCATGATCAATTCTATTTTCAGATTATACAGAGGAAAAGTCAACTACGTCTCCACAATATTATAGAGATAACCAGTCTTTCAATAACGATGGAAGCTATGTAACTAACGATTCAAGATACTGGAATACTGGTAACGAGAGCGAACAATGTCAAAAAGACCTGTTTACCACTACTGTGAGGCAGTCCATGGATTCTTCAATGAGCGAAGAGATGTCTGAAAACATTATGGATGACATTAAAAGCACTATTCTAAAAACTACTAATATAAACGCTAATGTGTCAACTTTAGACACAGAAACATCTACCAGTAACCAAATGGACTACGTGAGCAGTGATTTTTGCCCTCCGGATGATGTTCATAATGATTCAAAATGTACCTCGGATCTCCGTTTAACACCACATACTGATGGTGATTCGTATGACTCTAACAATAAATTAGCGAATGAATTTAAACAAAGTGTAGAAATGTGGGGTGATTATGTTCCAAATGACATCAAGGCAGCTTTAGATTCCAATCCAGGAGACACAATGAATCAAACTGTCTGACCATCTCCCAAACGATCCAGCAGGCGAGAGCGCCAAGGCGGAAAACGGAAAACCATATTGGTTATATTCTTTATTTTGGAGCGATGGAAGGAAATCTCTAGTCAGATTTATTTATACGATTTTTTTTATTTTCCCTGCTTATTATTTTTCGATCTTTTTAATTTATTTTGGTTAGTTGCTAGTCAGAGCCAGGCATTTTTCACTTCAGAGATTGTAATCTTGAACAATTCGTTGGGAACTGCAACTGTAGCCAATGAAAGTACATGTATAAAAATAAAAGTAAAGGTATGCTTTTAACTTAATATGGTATATCATAAGCACATTTGTATTTTAAATTTTATTTCAGATGTTTATATAATTATTTTATGTTAAATATTATTGAACAATAAGGTTTATTCACTTGTGTCTATATTAATTGCTTGCAGAAATTGATATGTAAGCCTTTTTAATGAGAAATGCGTGCAACATAAATTCAAAATCTCTTTTAGAATTTAAACTAAATAAATCTTAATTTTGTTTCCTCATTTGATATCAAAAGATTAAAATTGTTCTAGGTTACATCTAATTTGGAATCATTTCCGCCGTCACACTGAAAATACAGCTTTATATACTAGCTAGTATGTATTTTATCAAAGGCTACACGTGGATTATAATTTTATATATTTTTCCTTTTATTTTTAGCTTTTCCTCATGAAATAAATATTTTTTTTTTCAAAATTGTGAACTCTTCATTATTTTTATATTTGGCTCCAGTTTCTAAATATAATATATTTTAACAATGTTTGTTATCATTACCGTGTATCTGTTTATTATAAGACCGGGTTTTCTGATAAAGATTCTTTTTGAACTTAAAGAACCTATACTATCACTTCTAATGCCGGACGCTTGGCAAAGGAAGAGTCACTTCCTCTTTATATGTTTGAAGTGAACGAGAATGAAACGCAGGCCTCTCGATCACGAAGCGAACTCTCTACCACTAAATTTCCGTTACCTTTATTTAAAAGCAAAAACCAAAATATTTGTTTGCTTATGATTGTTTATTTTGTTTATTTCTCGTTGTTACATGTACTTAAATTTTTCATTAGATCTTCTACTAATTCAACGTGCATTAACCTTTAGAAAAGATTTCTAACTAAAAATACCGAAGCTATTTTTGACACAACATCGAGTGATCAAAAAGTTCAAGCGATTGTGAGAGGCTGTTAATAAAATTTTGACCATTTTAGAAAAAAAATCGTTGTAGATATTTAAATTTGTCGCAAATAAAAATTCTAAATGATTCAATTTCTATGAAAATAAATTGAAGACAGCTGAATATGTTCAAAAATATTTCTTTTAAATCTTTGGCTGATAAGACTTTCTTTATTTTGATTTCATCTTTCAATGAATTAAACATTGTGAGATTTTTCTTGGGACAATCCGAATTCCTGTTCAACCCACATCTTAAAATAACCGGAATTTAAAAAGCATGCATTTTAAAAATAATTCTGACCAGCTGGAATTATGAAATACCTTTGAAATAACAAAAAAAAATTTTTTTCTTATCATCAATGTTTAAGATATTCATGACAATCTTTCATTCATCAACACCTTTAACTTCTCGGTATTAGATAGTCCTTTCTTTGTTCCGCCTACCATCTGATACCTGCGCAACAGGTGAGGCATGCAACACAAAGCGATGAAGATATTCTCCACCTGTACATTTATACCAATGGGAACCCTCTAATCGGTGTTGAGATCTACAGGATTTATAGATAAGTTTAAAGTGCACGTTTGCAACTCATCAGTACTCTGAATAAATCATTTTTTTTCAAGGTATAAAAATAGAAATCCTTTGTAACCTGATTTTCGGAAATATATTCCTTTGTTTAATTTTAAAATTCTATAGGTATTTATGATAAGCTATTCCTGGTATTGGCATGTTTGTATTGAATAAAAGTATAAATGTTCAATATTAAAGCAATATTAGCTTCATTTTAAAGAATTTTATTTTGCAATAAAAATATGATAAATTAGAAAGTTAATTTTAAAACCTTTATGATCAATTTAACTAAATAAAGTATAAGATCGGTTCAAAAGAAATACCTCTTTATAATAATTTTAAATATTAAAGGGTATTTCAGAAAACAATATGGTGCAGGACGACATTAATGTAATTGTGTTAATAGTTGTTAATAGTTCTATTTCAAAGTGACTTTCGTTTTACAGTTGACGATTTACTTTGACATTCAAATTTGTGTCATACGGTTTATTCTACCTATTCCCACTTTTTGAAAATCAGGTAGGAAAAGGTAAGATTTTATGTGGGAATAGTGAAATTTTTGTGTAAACAAATAATTAACTATGAAAAAATATAATCACTACATAAACAATTATTAACAATTATTAAGAAATACCTGTTGGAATAGAGAACAGGGATATTTACATTTTAGAATTATAAATCAGACATTTCACGTATATTTGAAAGAAAAAAGTGAATTAATTCATTTGTCCCCTTTAATTTATTCATTCTAAAATCCAGCTATTTCAATGCTCTTTTGATAAATCTATTTAATTTTATGTTCTAGAAAAAATACTAAAGTACTTTTTCTTGTAATACATATATTTGAATGTATGATTCATATATTTCATAAATTTATTCATTATTTTCTTAAAAGGTACAAAATACAGGTAAATCTAAGAGGGGATGTAATTGTAGTCTAAATTACTGTAAAAACAAATTAACTACTGTATTTAATCTATTGTTATATGCAAGTGGGAATTTGTGGAATTGAGATTTTTTAAAAGTTTGAATAGGTAGAAGACACCTCATGTACGCAGATACAGAATTGATAATGAATTTTTTTTTTAAACTCTAATGGTCATGGGTATGGTGTTATTGGCACTTACATGTGAAAGAGGGTGGGCTTGGGGTTAAGGGTAGGGTGGTTGTCGTTTTCCTCAAGGACAACTTATATGTGCTTTGAAATTACATTTTATTTTTGTTTAATTAAATGATGAGCTAAATATTTATATCGTAAAAAGAGCTTCTGTACATTATTCTAGTGTTACAGTAATTAAGTAGTCAGCTGTAAAAGTCAGCGCTCCTCGCTTAAGTCAAATATGAACATCAGAAGTATATAAATGTTCTTTTTTCTGTCCTTGAAATAGTAAATGACAATTGTGCGACAGAAACTTTTTGACATCAAAGTTGCAGCTCGTACTGCTTTAATGTATGTGAATTACATTGCTTGGTGCAAAGAAGCCACGAAACAAACAAACAAATAAATAAATAAACAAGTTAAATTTATGTGCCAAATACAAATTTAGACATTTATAAGCAAAATAATATGTCGACCATAGAATTAAATGTAAGATGATCGATTTTTCTTTTTAAATTTTACCTGTACCAATATTTATAATTTTTAAACATTGTAAATCATCGTGAGACATTGTGAAACATGCTATGTTTACTTTTTATTCTTTATTCATACAAACTTATCAAAAAGCAAATCAAGTAACAGTGGCAGCTGTGACATATTTCAATAATTTAACGCACTCCTGATATCATATGTTGACGCACAGTGGTTTTAATATACGACCTTAGTTTGTATCTGGTCCAGGGCAGTGAGTAAACTTCCCTTTTTGAGCAAAAAGGGGTTTATAGAATATTGATGAGATAAAAAGCCAGGTACAGTGTACCTCTATTTTTACAATATATAAATATTGCATGTAGTTGAGTGTAACATTGAAAATTTTCACCCCAAGAAAACCATTGTCAACCGAGGCGCAGCCGAGGTTGACAATGGTTTTCGAGGGGTGAAAATTTTCAATGTTACACTCAACTACTAGTACATGCTATATTTATTATATTATACTGAATGTTTTATACAAATACATATGACAGTGAACCGTGCGCGCATAAATTCTGCGCAGTCGCTATTTTTTGGAATACCACCCGTCGTCAAGCAATGTTGACTGTTGCTACGCTGGAGGGCGTGGCTTCATTATTCAGCGGGTAGTAGTGTTTTTTAACAAATGTTTCTCGACCAATCAGATTCAACCAATTTTACATGAAGTATAATATTATTTAATAGTACATTATACCGAGTCACGTGCAATGCAGGAAATATATAGAAAATCCGATAAATGGAGTAAACATTTGATATGAACAATATAAAACAGGTGTAAGCTTCACCACTAGCCTCGCTTCATAAAAAATTCTTCGTGACAAGTCATTCTGATTTACACACTAGTAAAATTAATTCATTCCTCACCCATTGGAACACTTTTTTAAATAAATAAAATGTTACAATTTTATATCGGCATTATTAATCAACTATATAAACAATCTTAATCAGTAGTAATCATCCCAGTCGCTGCATTGTGACGCCACAATCGTGGAACAAGACATGAAACACGAAATTGAGTTTTGTTGCAGGGCCAACACGACGGTCACGTGACTGTCTCTTCCGATCAGATTTTATTTAACTAGTGGTATTATTACATATTTTGTTCAAAATCCTTCTTTGATAACAAAAGAAAAATGTACAGATAAAAGATTGTGACTAAAAACATGTTGGAAAGAATTCATTTGTATCACAATCTAGATAACATTTTTTATTAGATTTGTAAAGACTTCTCGCATTTTTTGAAGTAGATCAAGATCTGATGACCAGGAAGAGAAGTATGGAATTATATATAAGATTAAAATAACATTATTTCATATCTATGGAACGAATTCCTTGTTGTGTAAGAATTATTAAGAAAGCTCGAGTTACTTAATGCCCTACACAGTGTATTCAGAATACGATAGTCAGTTGGATAAGTTTGTTATTTTAACACATAGGAAGATTAAATAAATTAATCAAAGCATTGCATCAATTTAATACATGTATATTTCTATAACTTTACATTAGAATAAAATATAGCATATGAGATATATATATTTTCAATGAAATCTATCAGAAAGGTAATTTCAATGCTTTAAACATCCATTTTCAACTTTTTGATTCTGATTTTCACTAAATTACCTTTTGCCATATTTTCTTGCAATTGGACATATATAATAAACAATTTATGACATGAATGTTTGGGAGACGTGAAGATTCTTAGCCCATGAAAAAGCATATTATTAATATGTAAATATAATTTTTCAGGGGCGAAGAAATCTTCATGTCCCCCTCACTAGCATGCAATTTATGTACTGTATACAGGGTTATTTTCGCCCCGTGTTATTTTCGCCCTTTTGCACTTGCGAACAAGTATGCCCCGTTTTTAATTCGCCCAGTCATTGTTCTGTTTAAGAAATTATGCCGTGTAATTTGCATTCGCCCCTTTTTAAATTCGCCCAATCAAGAAGAGGGCGAAAGGGGTGAAAATAAAACGGGGCGAAAATTTCCCAGTATACAGTATATTATAATTTCATCATTTCCATTTACTCATATAATA